TCTCTCTCTCTCTCTCTCTCTCTCTCTCTCTCTCTCTCTCTCTCTCTCTCTCTCTCTCTCTCTCTCTCTCTCTCGCCCGCGCACGCGCGCTCCTTCTTCATCTCTCTCCCCATTGCGCAGCAGTTGGGTATTGGAGAGGCCCGAGCGTTGACGCTACGGCCACTTCTTCGTTCGGTCTTACCTTTCCCCTTCATCTCACTCCCCCCTCTGTCTCTGGTCTTCAAGTGACGTGGCGCTGATTTCTGTTGGTCCCATCTGGCTATTTATCTAAGTTAAAATAATGATGATAATAATAATAGTAATAATACTTATAATAACTAAGTATTTTTTAAAAACAAAGATATTTATCCACGTTTGTGATTGCGTGTGATCGGGGTTTGTCGAGAATGATGAGTGGGGGGCTTGTATGGGTGGGTTTCTGGCTATCTGATTTCTATTGACAGGGGTCTGTTCTTCAAGGAAGAGCTAGGCTGCGGTGTTGGTAGCCCCGGACATACGTCCCCGAATTGCCTATACTGTCAAGCGAGCAATGAGTATCCGTGTATCGCTGGCCAGGCGTACTACGGCCGCGGGCCAATTCAGCTGTCGTATAACTACAACTACGGATTGATGGGAAAGCAACTGGGTCTGGATCTGTTGCACAATCCCGAGCTCGTCTTGCGAGATGCTGCCACGGCGTTCCGCACAGCGCTGGACTTCTGGATGACGCCACAGCCACCCAAGGTATGGAGAATAAAGAGTCGACGGAAAAGAGAAATAATAAAATAATCAGAAGAGAGAAAAGAAAAGAGAGTAGAAATTGCAATATTATTATATTAATGAATTGAGTTTTTTGTTTTCTACGTGGCAGTAGCGAAAACAGTAGTAGGTAGGTAGGTAGTGTAAAGGTAAAATTGAGATAAAAATGTAGCTTTTTTTTTCTTTTTTTTTAATACAAATGAGGAATTAAAAAAAGGAAAATAAAAAAAAACGGTTTGAAACTGCACTTAAACAACAACCTGTTTTTCATTACAAGATGGGAACCGGGGCCAGCGTCCCTCACATCATGGGCTGCAGTCGTTGGGATGAGCCAGGCACTCCGGGGGCATGGTCCCACTAGCAAAAGGATAGGATAGAAACGAGTTTGTGTGGCAGTTGAGTGACCCAAATCCTGCCGTGCAGTACTCGTGAGTGATCCCACGGTCAGTATTTTACATGTATTACCCGAAAAAGTAAGGAGATATTCGTTCCCCTCCCCCTCTCCTTAACACTGGGCATGCCCGTGCAAAGACAGCCCGGCAGAATCTTTTCAATCGGTTGGGGGTGTGGCCAACCCCAAACGAGGTTGGGGTCGGCCTTAGCCCACTGGATAGAAGATTTTCAGCATTTTACTTGCTGTTGTGCAATTATCTCATTGGGTGGAGCCCTCCTTCAATCACGGAGTATATGGAGGGTGTCAGGATCATTTCTGACAGAAGTCGATTTTATTCCAAAAAAATGTGGCTGTTACTTTGTTCACTGTTTTTGCAACCACCACCATCAGATCATTTGTGATCTGATGGCTGGGAAGCACTCTGGCGTGATTTCCCGTGGCAGGTCTCTGTTTCTTTTTCTTTTTTTTGGCCTTTTTCCTGTTTTCTCAGCCCAGAAACTCGTAATGAACGTGTCTGGCCGCTGCCACTCACTGGATAGGCCACGCTCCTACCCCACTGCTAATGGGACCATGCCCGGGGGGACCTCACGAGGTCCTTTTTTTTTTTTCTTAAATGAAGTGCAGGGTGTTGTAGAGGCCCGTTACTAGGCTCACATTGATTGCCGGAAGCTGTCAGCAATGATTGCCCTGAAGAGATGGGGCTACCTTCTCATTCCATTCTCGCGTCAATACTCCTAGTCATAGTAGGAATAGGGGATGTGCTACTATCCTGCCTCAGTGTGACAAGCACTCAGGACCACCGTTCACGGGGTCTGTGGACGGAGACCGGTCATGGGGTTCACCCCGTTCACGACACGGGAGTTCATGGAGTTCACGGAGAGCGTTTTTTTTTTTTTTTTTTTTTGGCTGGGGGGGTATGGTTTTTTTTTTTATAGGAGGGTGGGGGACATCGAAGGGTAACTCCCTATAATTTTTTCAAAAAAACACTTTCACGAAAAATATTTTTTTTAATTAAAAATGAAAAAAAAAAATCAAATAGCCAAAATAAGCATTTTCGTCTGCTATTTTGTAGGTCATTTCGTTTTTTTTTTTTTTTTTCAATGTCATCA